AGAGAGGTATGCTATCTGAGACACATCCCATCTGGTGATTCACTTCACAATTGCCTACAATAACTGGGGCTGCACCAGGCTGAAGACAGGAGCTGGGAACTCAAGCCAGGTCTCTCAGATGGATAGCAGGGACCCACGTACTTGGAAATCACTGCTGCCTCACAGGTTGTGCATTAGCAAAAGGCTGGAATCGAAGCAGAACTGAGGGACTAGCACTGTGGTGCAGCAGGTTAAGGCTACTGAGATGCTGACATCCCATATCAGAGCACCGTTTCAAATCCCAGCTACTCTGCTTCCAGTCCAGCTCCCTGCTAATGTTGACTGGGGTAGAAGCAGATACCAGCCCAAGTATTAGGGCCCCTGCCACCCACCTGGGAGATTTGGATGGAGTTCCAGAATCCTGGCTTCTGCATGGCTGAGCTCCAGCCATTGCAGCCATTTGGGAAGTGAACCAGCAAATGGAACATCTCTTTTTCTCTGTCTCTCCACTCTGTGTCACTCTCTGTCTCTCCCTGTGTTACTCTGCCTTTCTAATAAATAGATCTTAAAAAAAAAAAAATAGAACAGGCCTCAAACCCAGGCGCTCCAGTAGCGAATACTGGATGCCTACCTCCCATCCACCATTCTTAAATGGTTATAAAAATGCCTTATTTTTAAAAAGTTTTGTGCTATGGTTATAATTCACTTAAATTGCTATTTACTATTCCATTTATAGCTTAAGATTTTTAGGATTTGCTACAATCTACTTATTTGTAATTTTGTGATACAAAGTAAGCCAACAGAATATTTCACTGTACCCATACAATTTAATGGATAACAGCTTTGTACACTGGGAAAAAGATGACCACTTGAAGACATCTAATTCAATATTGACATAAGCCACTGGTTAAACTCATTTAATGACATATGGATTTAGCATACAAAAGAAAAATCTAATCACACAGAAATGTAAAAAAAAAAAAATAAACGTAGCTAGCAGAGCAACATGGTTATCAAGAAAATGTATGGCTTTTGAAAATAAACTTGGGATTTAGCAGGAATCACTGAAAAAATGACAATTTGGTTTCTGACTTTGTACAAGTGGGATAACACCTGTCTTGCTGAGCGCTTATAAGCATTAGGCTCAGTGTCCAGCAGATATTTAATGAAAGGCAGTCATGCATGCTTGTCCGTCTTCCTTCTTCCTTCTTCCTTCTTCCTTCTTCCTTCTTCCTTCTTCCTTCTTCCTTCTTCCTTCTTCCTTCTTCCTTCTTCCTTCTTCCTTCTTCCTTCTTCCTTCTTCCTTCTTCCTTCTTCCTTCTTCCTTCTTCCTTCTTCCTTCTTCCTTTCCTTTCCTTTCCTTTCCTTTCCTTTCCTTTCCTTTCCTTTCCTTTCCTTTCCTTTCCTTTCCTTTCCTTTCTTTCAGGCAGAGTGGACAGTGAGAGAGAGAGAGGCAGATAGAAAGGTCTTCCTTTGCCATTGGTTCACCCTCCAATGGCCACCATGGCCGGCGCGCTGCAGCCAGCGCATCACGCTGATCTGAAGCCAGGAGCCAGGTACTCATCCTGGTCTCCCATGGGGTGCAGGGCCCAAGCACTTGGGCCATCCTCCTCTACTTTCCCGGGCCACAGCAGAGAGCTGTCCTGGAAGAGGGGCAACCGGGACAGAATCCAGCGTCCTGACCGGGACTAGAACCCGGTGTGCCGGCGCCGCAGGTGGAGGATTAGCCTATTGAGCCATGGCGCCAGCAAATTTTTTCTTTTTAATCAATGACTGTACCAATTCTGGTTAATATTGAGTTGGAACTTTTTTACGTAAGTAAAAAAATTAAGGTATACTTCATCATCATCCTCTGCAATTACTTGGAATTGAGTAAGGTATTAAGACATTATTTTCCTTCAGTATTTTGGTTCTCTCTAGGCACATAACAACCTCAGTTGACAAATTTCATGGCTGCATCTTGCATCTATCATTTTTTTTTTTTTTTTGACAGGCAGAGTGGACAGTGAGAGAGAGAGAGAAAGAGAGAAAGGTCTTCCTTTTCTGTTGGTTCACCCCCCAATGGCCACTGCAGCCGGCACACCTTGCTGATCCGAAGCCAGGAGCCAGGTGCTTCTCCTGGTCTCCCATGCGGGTGCAGGGCCCAGGCACTTGGACCATCCTCCACTGCACTTCCTGGCCACAGCAGAGAGCTGGACTGGAAAAGGAGCAACCGGGACAGAATCCAGCGCCCCGACCAGGACTAGAACCTGAGGTGCTGGCGCCGCAGGCGGAGGATTAGCCTATTGAGCTGCGCGTCAGTATTGCATCTATCATTGTTACTGTTTTTAATTTTTTTATTT